ACAATTTCCAATAACCATAGATATTTTCCACCCAGAAGTCATGTTTAAATTATTAAGTTAATGAAAACATTCTACCAGTTCAAAAGATCCAAAGAATTAGGACAGAACATGAAGATGAAGCTAAAAACTTGTACTACTTCTACCAAACAACTTCTCCCTTTACTTCCAAATGTAACCAAGCGACTTCAAATTTCAGGTCAAACAAATGAACAGGAAAAAACCCTCTTTCAAACTCAAAGGCATTTGTTTGTTTAAGTTGGGGGGGAACTAGATTATTTACAACTCATAAATAGTCAAAGAGGACAAATATGAATTACAGAGTGCTTACAGGAATTGCAAATGCTCCAACCAACTCTTTCCAGCAACCAGCAAATTTTTCCCCTCAAATTTCTCCAAATCAATCCCTTACCCAGCAGAGCATTGATTAATAACAAACATACAAGTAGCTGTGCTTAACCTTTAAAGAGAATGCATGCAAGAAGTTCAACCTGCCTCAGAAGCAGAAGTAACAACCAGGCATTATTGAAAGAGAAATGGTAATTTGTTTCCAAGCTTTCAAATCAGCACTTGGGAAGATGGATTGCTTTGACTCACGGCCAGTTTTCACATTCTTAACTTCTGCATTCGAAACCACAATTCTGTTTCCTATTTGCCTTGGCCTCACTTCTCTGGGAGGGGAGATGCTCTGTGACCCAACACTCAGCCATGGCGCACACACATATCTGGCACCAAAGGCCCTGCTCAGCTGACCAGGTCAGACACCTGCAAACAACATTTACAAGGTATTCTGATGTTGGCCATGACACAAAACCACAGAGTCTTCTTTCACCCTCTGTTCTAATGTGTCGTTAAGGGGTAACACAGCAACAAAAAGGCAGAGCAGTCCCCACAGGCTGGGAAGGGATTATCTCCTGGTTGTTAGTGCTAGGTGTCATGATGGAATGACCACCAAGAGCCCAGAACAGCAGGCCAGCCATGGGTGAAGCCTTTCTGAAGGCCGTCCTGGTCAGCTGTCAGAACTAAAGGGCCCCTGGAACAGGAGGTAACCAAAACTGGTCCCTGTACATCACCTCTCCCTCATCAAACTAAGCAGGTGCTCTGCACAGATAACAATTTCTTCTTCCCTCAGAGCAGGGACAACTCTCTGATTCCTTCTTAACTTGAAGCACAACAAGCCTTCTCCCAGCTACTTCCCATTCTGGAAACAGTGCAGCTGTTGCTATCGGTCCTCGGCAACCCTCCTGCACTGCCGTTCACTATCCCTCTTCCCAGAATCCATCGTGGCACAATTCCACTGTGGACTGCCCCATCATCTCCCTTGGCAACGCAGCAGAAACACAGGCACAGCCAGCAGCTGAAATACTGGGAAATACCGAGAAATGGTGGGTTTTTCTCTCCCCACACATGTTTTAATTGCCAGGTAAGGGCTGGTCCTGGGAACAGTTTGTTATCCTACTGTAAGAAAACTCCCTTGTGGAAGGGCTGTTGATTGGGCAATCTCCCACTAGTTTAGAACATTCCGAGTTGAAAAGGTCACATTTTGTATTTTAACTAATTGGAATTTTTACCTTTAATGACTACGAAGATAAACGTGACTGCTGTTTGCTGCAGGAAGTCACCTCTATTTTCATTTATTAGTTTAGCTCAGCATTAAGTTCACCCACACCAGAACCTTTCTTGAGAACCATTTTGATTTCAGTAATGTAATAACTAGTAGAAGTAAATGGGGACAATCCCTCAGAATCATTTCAAACAGCACAACATTTACTTTTCATGCGTGATAATGTTGTTTATGATCTCTTTTAAATAAGAAAAAAAGGGAGAATTCAATTAGCTTTAATTAAATTCTGGATATTAGACCCTAACAGCTAGTGAAAATAATACAGATTCATTTTTATAATTAATGAAGTCCCAGAGAATTAGACTTTATTTCACTTTGCGGGGAGGGTGACAGCTACAAGTCTGTTGCCCATTATACACATGGAAAAACACTACTGGCTGTGGAAAGAACAAGAAAAAAAATTGCCTATAAAACAACACTGAAAGAGAAATACTCCTTCCAGAAACAAGGGAAGAAAAAAAAAAAAAAGACATTTTGGACAACGGAAATGGAAAACTGCATTCTATTTTGGAAAAGAAAAAACAAACAAACAAAAAACCCCAACCCCAAACTAAAGCCCACAATGAGGATATACATACAGTATAAAGCCTGGTGTTTTCAAGGCCAGTTTCTTTGAGGAAACACTTATCAGTCCCACAGAAGGGTTATACAACCAAAAGATCACTTCCCTGGCCTTATTTTAGTTCCATTTAAAAGACAGCAGTAACTTTGGGATCACCCTGGAGCCCCACCTAGCTAAACAAGCCTTTTCTAATGAGCACCTCCATGAATATGGAACTGATGGATAAAAAAACCACAGCAGAACTAATGAGGAACAGAAGGCATTTCCCATTTTAGCTCAATAATTACAAGCGTTAAAAGGCAACACTGACAGGAATTCACGCTGAGGACTGAGAAAAGCCCACCCCACTGCCCACAGTCCAGCTGGAGATGAGCCTTCCAGCCCCCCTGAGGCAGCCCTGCCCTTTCTCAGAGGGCTGTGCCAATGCCAGCGAGCAGTGCCAGCGACACCACTGAACCTGGATAATCAAAACACGCTCATCCTCTTTGTCTACAGCACGAACTGTTTCATTTCTACTCATTTATCCTCAAAACGCTTTGCAATGAAACACCACCTCATTGGCAATATCCCCAATACGCCAGTGCTCCAAGTTTCACAGTGAGCTGCAGAGGGGCCATTTTCTTAGATGAAATACTTGTGTTCCAAAGAAGAGTCAGACACGTCGTTGGAAATCACACCTGTGCGAAAACTTGTCAAGGTACATCAATTTTTTTTTTTTTTTAGAGCCAGCCAGTCATGACGGTATTCATTACAAATTCCCAGTAAATCGTGGAAGGGTAATTTGTAAACAGTGTTTTAATAAAGAGGAATATACAGGACTTATGAGGAGAGGTAACAAGAGATCTATCCTTCGAAGCTCTTGAGTCCTGCGAGGACAACGTTTCATTTTCTCCTCCCTAACTCCATATTAACGGCATCAAGTGCGAGATTTGAACTCAAACTCAGCTGCCACTTCTGTTTCAAAAGGTCTCGTGCAGCAGGAGTGGCTTATTAGAATGCCTTTGAAAGAGGGCACAGTTATTGCTCGGGAACAGCCTGTCTCACCTCACAGAAGTGCTGTATAAATGTCAGGATGCTTACAGAGGAATCAGTTCTTCCAGCAGAGGCAGTTTATTAACCACGCGGTATTTGTGCATTATGATTTAGCGCAAAGCACATTTAAATTGCCAGACTACAAACTCCTTGAAACAACCTCTCAAAAGGGAGCTGTCACGAGCGCAGCTGGTGAGTGGGACCAGTTTTACCCTCCCTGCAAAGAGCAAAGCCATGGAGTTCTACCACAGCAGGAACCAGTTAAGATAATAACTGGTCATTCCAAGAATAACACTGATCCTACATAAAACTGAAGCCTACTGAGACCATCCCAACTCTGTCCCCTCCCTTCAGAGCACAGGGCTCAGCATGGGAATCACAGGGTGCAGCACCTCATTCCTCTTGAGCCAACACTTGCAGCGGGTGGCAGACCTCAGAGATTATGGAATTAACTCCAATTAAGATTTCATAGAGTTATCTTTATGCAGGTAATTCAGATCTTGTCCTGCTCATGTTAAACTGATGAAGATCACTCAGTGAGGTCTGAAACACTTACTAAGCTCCTTATGACAAATCAGAGGCAGCTTTCTGGCACACAAGGCCAAAACATCTAAATGCTTATCACTTCCTCGAACTCACAGGTATAATTGACACTGTAGTGCACTGAGTTTCCAAGTGTAACCATCTCTGATCATTCCAATAGTCATTTCTTTATAAAATCAGAGAATCAGGTTGGAAACTTCCCAGTAAACCTAGAAGATAAAGATCACAAAATGAGATTTCCCTCCCCACAGACACAGGATGTTCTGAAGTAACTGATTTACAGAATATTTTTAAAACAACGTTGTCTTTTTAAACGTCTGTTAAAAGTTAAGATGATGGGCCTACCTTGATGGAAGCAACGTGGAGCAAAGTCTCTCCTTTGTAATTTCTTCTGGAAATTGTGTTGCCACCAGGGGATTTCAACAGAGGACTGAATGGTACTGATACTTGACTGCAAGTCTTAGGAGTAGATGGGATAGAGGGAGATTCTGAAAGCGAAGGACTATCTGTTGCTTGAAGGACTGCAGAGCTTCTTGTCTTCCTTGCAGCGCCAGTAAGTTTTGATGCAGAGGAAGAAACCTGAACTGGTGCCTGGTGTTCAGTCGCTGGGGAGATGGGGGAGCCCTGAAGTAGCTCCTCCAAGCAATCTGCCTGCCTGCCTGCCTTCCCAGCACTGCCCCTCTCAGATCTCCTCAGTCTTTTAGGCTGAGGAGTGCCCTGAAGCCCAGGTTGTTCCCTCCCACGTTTTAACAGCGTAGTTTCATTTTCTGCTGACAGGGACATCTCTGGAGCACAGCTGTTTTCTTTGCTCTCTTGTGCAGGGCACACAACCTCACTGTTATCTTTGTTCTCTGGGGATTCGACCTGTGGTGGCACTTCCACATTTCCTGTATCTTTGCTGGAGTCATTTTCCTTCACAGCCTCCTGCCGAGGTGTCTCTTCAGGACTCTCCAGTTCTGGAGTGCAGAGGATCACCGGCTGACTGCAGATGGTCACACACTTTTCCTTGGGAGTCTTCTCCTCAACTCCCTTCTGCCCAGGCTTCTCTAAGCTCCACACTTTGTTAATGTCTGCCAGACGTTTCTTCTTCATCCTCTTAATCTGCCTCTGGGTTGGTTTTTTTGTCGGCTCAGGGGGCTTCTCGTGTGGAGGGGAAGGAAAGAAATCATAAACTGAAGATGTGTCCCCACCGGGGTCACTGCTTTTGGTCTCATGATGACTCTTGTTCAGGACACATCGAATCTTCCTACTTCTTGGGCTGAACCACATTTTTATCTGTTCCTTCTTGCTGCTTTTTCCCAAGTCTGAGTCAGTTGGTGTGGATGCATCTTCTGCTGAATCTAAGTGCATCAGGGAAGAGGAGAAATAATTACAGAGTTACAGAACATCACAGAGCAAACAAAGACCATAACAACAACTGCAATAACTGCTGAAGTGTTATTTACTGAACACTATTTAGGAGTGCCTTCATTTCTTCTGAGAAGACACAGGTAATGCTTTAAAATGCCTGGCAAGGTCACCTGCCACTCTCGAGTTCAGGGATCCTAGTGCAGCTCCAGTGATCCACTGGGCAAGTGAGCATCCTGGGAGAGAAATTCCATCAGCACGCGCACAGAGGATTTCTGATCAGCTCAGGAAAGGGCAGATGTTGGTTTCCTGCCTGAGTTTTCATTGGAAACAGGTTTAACGAAACGGCATGTGCATACACAAAAGAGCACAGAGACAATTTTCTAAAAGGATAATGCAGTTCATCTGAAGATGAAAAAGAAGAATAGCTCTAAGCAAGCAAAAATAATATCCTTAGAAGAGTGCTGAACATTCCTGAGAAATGTTGACTGATTCCACAGATATAGCAGATGAATCAGAGGAATATATAGAAAATCTGTAAGTAATTGTGTCCTGTCATTTGATCCTTTACCCCTTGGTAGTAAATAATTTCAAGGAAGCTAAACATTTTGATGATCTCAAACATTTCTATAAAAATATGCAGTGGAGCAATTTTATAAATCACACTGGACAGCACATTACAAATCAATAACCAAGATGACAGAGGAATATCCTGTACTCCCAGCAAATAACAGTTGAGGACAAGGGCTATAAATACTGTCCTCAATGGCTTAAGAATAAATTAAGGAGCATAAAGTGACCTCTAAGTTAGACACCAATTTAATCAGACAACAACTATTTTTGGTGCAGAAGAACTAGAACATACGTTTTACCGATTCCTTCATGGAAACCCAAGTTATTTTAGGCTACTTGGACAAGTCCTTCAAAGTAAATCACCAGTCATTCTTCCTGTTGCCTCAAACCTCAGGGACTACAATGCACAAAAATGTCGGTGATTCACAGCTAATCAAACACAAAACCAACAGGAATTTTGCCTAGTGAGGAAAGTTGTTTTTGTTTTTTTTTGAAACAGAACTAAGACCAAGATTATCGGGGGAGGCTTAAACATTCTTGAAATAAACTATACAAAGCCTCAGTTATTAAAAGTGACAGACACTCACTGCAACAATCTATCACTTTCACTTGGTGCATTAGCTTTCAATGGGTAATTTATTTTCTCCACACCTCTTATTTTTGGTGTTAGTAACTACAGCCCTTTTTCCACAGCGAGCTGTGGCAAACTCACAGACAGCAAACAAACCAGACCCAATCCCTCAGCCCCGAAAATGTATGCTCGAAATTTCACTTAAAAGAGAACTGCATTGCTAGTAATTGAACACTAAAGCAGGCATTTGCAGTTTTCTTTTAAAGTAATATTTCAAAGTTAAATGTTTCCTCAGTCTTGATTTCAACTGCCCTACTTACCCCTTGAATTAAAATATGTTACACATTAGATTTAGCCAGAGGAACATGTAAAGCCATCAGACCAAAAGTCTTTAAGAATACAGCTTGAGGCTAGCTAATCAATCATTTAGGTATCTAAAGACAATCACCAAGCATAGAACTGCAGCTATTTGGTTTTCCTGTAGGGCTGGAGTTGGTGCAAACAGCAAGAAAGGGACTGAAATTGAGACTGAAATCTCAGAACTAGCTATCCTTGAGATCGTATCCAATCTTGTTCTGACAATAACAGCTAAAAAAAGGAAGGGCTTGATTGCAAACAGATGCAAAATATAAAACACAAGTTACTATTTACTTGTCGTGCCTTCACTGTTTACACAACTAGCAGATTTCCTTGTAAAATATTTACCTTGCTAGAACCATCAGTCATCCCCATGTAAAGAGACAGAATAAAATCAGCTCGCAGAAGTAATTTGTGCAACGATTTCGTGATGCCCAGAATTCTTTCTGATGTGTGTAGCACAGCAGGACTTTAAAGTCCAAGTGACAAATTCAATCAAAGGCACTGCCCTTCAGAAACAGGATCTAAAGCAGCGTAACATGGTGAAGAATTCACACTGGAAGCTCCCAGTTATTTTTCCTCACATGCAACTACTTCAGGTATAAAAGTGTACACTGCTGCCAGGCTGTGTGGCATCTCCCAGCCATTCTTCAACAGCTCCATCCTCTGGAATACTCTGCAGCCAATGACAGCTTTATCTGAACAGCAGCATCTGCAAAAGATGGTAATTCTTCGACTCTGCTATCCTTTCCTCCGTTTCCAAAAAGGACAATGGAGGGAGCAGAAGTAATTTGGTCAAATGGCCAATCTACCCTCCCTGAAAATTAAATCTTTTGATGAGCCCAGAGCTGTGAGAGGGAGAGAGAGAGAGAAGAGGCAGAGTGCTAAGAAGATGAAAGGAAGTTCTTATGGTTTAATATGTAAATGTTAATTTATATAAAGAGGGTATTATCTAGTAGCTAAGTGCGTTCAGTTAAACTACCTTCAGAGAAAATTGCTCATAGAAAAATCGATCCCAGTGAATTCTCTGCTGTCTCCAAGCTGGAGGCCAGAGCTCGCATCTCAAATGGAATGAAAAAAAATGACTATATATGATTTAGATGTAATTATCTTTTTAATACATGAGTGTCCTCCCAACATTTCTTAGAGATGCATTGAGACAAGGTAAATCAGCAGAGCATGCCTTACTCATCCTGGATTTTAAGCATCTGCAATACTGTAAAGAGCATTCACAATAACAGTATTAGAATCAGCCTTATTATAATAAATGCAGTGAATTTACTCTCCATTACCTATTAAAACGTAACATTCATACACACAATACATTAACTGAATTCTTTCTAAATTAGACTTATTTGCACATAATAAGCACAAGTTTCTTAATGCTGACATTTAATAGAGTTGAATTTCTTGAGTGTTAAAAGGGCTGAGAGCAGACAAAAATATGAGGAGATAGGCAGTGCCTTGCAGCCAGAGCTCCATCTCCAAGTTCTGCTGCACGGCAATAACAGGCTAGAGCAGGGGGGGAAAAAAGGAGCAATTAGAAAATGTGGTTTAGCTATCACTAATCTGCATCAAAGGAATATAATGATGCACATTGTGTGCCTTTCAAATTATTCTCTATTACGGGTTTCAGAACAGAAGTTGAGAAATCTCTCTGACAAACTAGTCCCTTATTAAAAATCAAAGGGAAGAGCTTTGGTACCATCTGTGCAACATTAGTGCCTTCACTGAAGAATGATTATTTTGCAAGCTAAGTATTCAACACAGGGTGGGGAAAGGGTGAAATTCCAACTATTCAAAACCTCATCTTTAGCTATTATGAAAAATGTCACAGCACACACGAAATGCAATGTAATCTGTTACAACAGAAGTTCGGCAACTTTCCTCCACATCAGCAAACGTTGAAACTAAGTCATGACACTATAGAGGCTGATCAAAAGTTGATCTCTCCCACTGTCCACCATCACCAGCACGAGCTTAGGAAGCTTTGACCAGCACCTGCAAGGTCTTGCTCTATCTGAGAAGAGGGGAGAAAGGCTTAGTTTGACTGTGTTAGAGTGAAGCACATTATGTTGCACAGAATAAGGTAAAATCATCTACAAACGATTCTTCTGGAAGTCAACACCAATCTCTTCATTTTAGAGAACATCACACACAAAAAATCTGCTGATTTAGGAATTCACTTTCAAAATCATCGCTGTAAATCAGCCTCCTTCCTCTGTGCTGTACCATAATCACTACGTCCATGACCCAACAAGTTCTTTTTAATTACCCACCCAGGAAGCCCATCATCCCCCCAGAGCCAGTTCTCACAATGCCCTGGATGCTGCAAGAACAGAGCCAAAGATTTTGAGGTGCAGACACCCCTCTGTGAAGCCTGCCAGCCACCCAGCTTCCCACTGCCCTTGTAAAGGTACAACACAGGGCAGTGAGAAGGTCAGACAGCTCTCCTCACCTTGCCATAGACTAAGAATATAACGTCTCTAACAAATGAATTAATTTCAAGACTCAGCATTTGTTACCTATAGTTTGAATTTTCTACCTCTCATCTGCATTTTCTATCCAGTTTCAGGCTTGTCATTTGTCAATCATCCTTCAGTTGTCCCAGCAGTGTCATTTGTTGTGTTTCCCTTTAATTTTGAAGGGAAATATTAGCTGTTTTGTGCAGCCTTTCCTGAATTACTTGCTGCTGCTTCTCACAATGCACATGCTGTTTGGCAAAAGCTATTCTTATCCCAACAGAATACAAAGTGAGATCCCTCTCATATCTGCTGTGGAACCTCAGGGTAGGGGGATTTTTGTACTTGAAACATTCAATATGTGAGCTTAACCCTATCCTTTTCAGTCACAGCAGTTCTGGGGTTTTTTAAAGAAAAGCACACAACTTGCTGCACTCACTAGCTCTGTCACAGACTTAAAAAAAGGGTAGCAGGATGCACTTGCATTAGAAATTTTAGTGTCAGCAAGGATCTCAAAGAGAAGCCTTGATGCGAGCCACAACTGTCTCAAAACAAGGCATTTAAGGCAAATATGCAAAAGAGACATAAAACAAATACATGGAAATATTCTTTGTTTCAACTGCTTCTCTTCCTTTCCTCCACTGAAAGATTGATTTTTCGGTCTATTTCCTTTACTGGAACATAAAGTACAATTTCTGACCTTCTAACAAAAAAGAAAATATTGTTGACAGAAGTACAGTGCTGTCAGAGCACAAAAGCAAGTCCCTAACAAGAGAGGCCCCGATTCTCCAAACTCCAATATCCACTCTGGATATTTCACTTTGGATACATTGAGTTCAAGGCACACGTCGATGGGAGGTGACAGATTTGCCCAAGATGAGGGACAGCACATCCCAAAGGATTTGCTCCCAAAATCTCTGAAGCTACAACATCCTGTGACTTTCAGCAATATGGGGGTTGTTTTACAGCACAGGATTGGCTGTTCTTAGAGGTGTGCTCATTTACTGATGTCCCCAAACCATTCCTGACAGTGAACTGTCGCCAACTCAGGAGGCTTTTCTCTTAACCGTGGTATGAAACATCCAAAAGGCCACTGTACTAATCCTTAGCACACTGCAAAGATTACAAGTGGTGGAAAGTCCTCTCTCACATCAGTTCCCAACTTTAGCTCCAAACATAATGCTCTTGTAAACTTCAATTTCATGTCTGCTCTTAAGTCAGAACAAGGGATGATAGAAAGAACCTCATTTCGTTCTGCGGTTTAGCCACACCACGCAGACTTTACAGTTTAAGAACTATGGGATTAAATGTATTATTCAATTCCTAGTACAGTTACACATCATACCACTTCTAAGAGTTAATCCATCTGTAAGAGTCCTCCAAAACATCTAAACAGTATCAATACTATCATGTTGTATTTTAAATGCTTTATTTACAGCATCACAAATAGCTCCTCTCAGAGATTCCCTTCCAAGTGTGTTTTTAAAAGCCTTCCTCACTTAAAATATTTCCCTGAAATCCTGTTTAAGCCATCATCTATGTTTTCTATGCTCCAGAAGATTTAATCACCATAGGATTTTATATCTATATAAAATGAATTCCTTTACAGTTGGACATAGGCTTCCAGCCCCCTCACTTAAATGCATTTTGATGTCAATAAAGAGCTACTCCATAAATGAATGAAGGTGCTGATGGGATTAGACATTAAAAAAAAAAATCTTTAATTCAGACAAACATATTAGGAAGCAACAATGAAGGAAGAAATACCTTTTCTATGTCTGACAGCTAAATGAATGTTTTCTAAAATTTGGTACTACATAAATGCTCCTCTCTGAGCTTGCAAAAGAGACATACATTCACCTACGCTTATTTCACTTCATTTTTAACTCCTTTCACAAACAGCCTAAAATTTGATAGAGATGAATTCCCAGAGTATGTTCTCTGCAATCTTCCAGCACAGTCAGCAGTGACAAAACTCCACTGCAGCAGACTGTTAGGGACCAGAAAATAAATGAGTTAAGACTTGCTTCCTTCCCCTTTTAGGCAAGGAACGTGCATAATTTTTGCCACGTGCAAAACACCCTAAACTGAAAATTACTGGGACAGCACACAAGCCTCAGTGCCCAGAAACACAAGAGGCAAGAGAATATATGTGTTGATTCTTTAACAGGGTCCCCCCTCAGACAGTGCAGAACATTACACCTCACCCAAGAGCACGGGATATGACAACTGGTTTGTGTCACGTGACTTGGCAACCTCTCCCACTTCCATCTAATTTTGGACGACAGGTTCTAATGAATTATGGACTAACCCGCTGATGCGGATTTCTAAGTAAAACAGATTCAAAGAACGAGCAATCCATACAGACAGTTCTCCTCAAATCAAATTTTCCAAACGTGGTTCGGAACATCCCTTCGGAATGTTAAGCGGGGCTGCTCTGCTCGTCCCCCACAAAGCCTGGGAAGTGGGAAGGAGCAGCCGGGCCTCTGGGGCTGCGCGGGGTGACCCTTACCGGGGGTGTCCGTGCCCAGGAGCTCCCGCAGTTTGCTGCACAGCTGGATCATGGAGTCCAGCTGCCGGTTGATCTGGGCATCCCGCAGCCAGGCTGGCACGTGGCACACGGGGCACTCCGTGCCCACACAGTCACCCACGCAGGACCTGGAAGGCAAAAGAAGAGTCCATTTTCCGGCACAGGTTATGAGCTGTACTCGCTATCAACCGCCCCACAGCCAAGCACTCAGCGAGTAGCTCTTACTTTAGCCCTGACAGACCACTGATGTGAACCCCACCAGGCAGCCACAAATGCAGGACAGCACATATTTATCTTGGAAAGTGACAAGCTGAACATAATTAAGCAAGCCAAGTCCAGAGCCTTGTCAGGATGCTGTCATGGAAAACGCGGTGTCTTGTGACTTCCCCAATCAGAAGCTAACCCAAATTTTCAAGGAATGCTAAAGCTCCACTGCTGTCTGCCTCCAGGTAACAATTAGGCTCAAACAGTTAAAACCACACATCCTTTTACACCTGCTATTCTGCAGCCTTCCATTTTTAAACAAGTGTCAGAAAGTCAACCCACAGCAAACTACCATTTCTGCTTTTTTCCCCACTTAAAATTTTCTTGATATTGTGAAGTTTCACCTGTCTGAACACTTTTCTGTATGAAGTCCCACGAGGACATGCAGGTGTTCAGAGTATCCTGTCGCTGCTCTCTCTTTCAGAGCATTTATGTCAGATGATCAAGGTGCGTTGGGTGGGGGGACATTCACTCGGTAAAGGTCATTAACACCTGTAGCTCCTTAGCAATACCTCTCTCCCCACATCAGCCTGAAATCTTTTATTCTTTTGATTAGGCCAGTGAGAAGCCGCTGTGCTTTCCCATCTGAACCACAACATTCAAGGGCCGTTGTTACTTCTCATCTACAATCTATCCTATTAAATACAGGTTATCGTTTCAAATGCCCAAGACTGAATTAATTTCCAAAGTCTCCCTTACCTCACCCCAATGTAGGACACAGTAAATGTGAGCAGATCATGTTAAACACTCAGAAGAACAGAACGCAGTAATATCAAGGCAGTAATATGAGGGAAAGGAAGATCAGAGTCCATGCATCTCAACTCCAAACATTAATACACCCCAAAACTAGTAGCATGTTAGTTAACCAAAATATACCAAAATTATAGCTACTGCCACTTCCTTTAAGGAGAAAGATACTTTCAGATCTGTTCTCAGCACCAGCATCTCTCCCTCAAACACCACATGTGAATCCTGCGTTCAGCTAACCCCAAGGGAGGAAATATGGTATGGAAAAATTGCTGCCAGGTGTTTTTTGCGCTCTGAGCAGGCAAAGGACCTCGTGGCTGAGACACTGCTGTGATCAGGAGACTGAAATACAGTTCCTGGCTCTGACTTATTCCAGGTGACACTGACAAACCACTTGGGGCAAAGGGAAGGACCGATCAGGTCTCACCTCCTGGGGAAGTTGGCCTCAGGTTTCCCATGCCCATAAAAGGTACTGCAAAGGAAATCCAGAGTGACTTTTAAACTACAACACTGCTTAATTAATTCTAGCTGTTGGGGCTTTATAGTTGGTGGGTAATGACTGAGGCTAACCTGGTAGAGCTAATCAGACAAAACTGCAGAAACTGATCTTAATAAATATCCCTGTCCATAATAAAACCACGCTGAGGGAGAACCACTTCTATTATGTGTGACAAGATTACTGCAGTTCATTAGTTTCACATATTTTACCTCATCTATCAGCAGCCAGCTCTGGCCATTCACCCCACTCCTTCCCAGGTGTATTAACAAATGTTTGTCTTCAGCACTGGATCAGAATCAGTTCGTGTCAGAATACTGCAGAGTGGATCAGTGCCCTACATAATTTGCTTCTAAACAAATTAATCTAAATTTCCCTAGGTTTATTTTAAAAAATAGCAGCTATCCAAGACTCAGTCATGGAAGGACACATGAAATTGCTGCTAAAAGGTCAGGCATACAAAAGAGAAAAGATCAGGTATAACAATAACACGGATAATAGCAAATGAACTCCTTCATCTAGAGCAAGAAATAGCTGCTAATGAGTGCTTAAGGCTCCTCTTAGCTATTCTTTCCAGCCTCACCAATACAAACCGCATTGTCTTCTGGTCCTCCAAAACGAAACCACAAGGCCTCAGACAACCAACAACAATTACATTTATTAAGCCACACAATTGCGTTTATAAATAACTTGTACAAGCTTCTGGGGGTTACTTTACCAAGTAATCTGTAGACAGATCATATAAAGGAACCAAATAAGGAAAAATTCCTCCAGACAGCAGAATCAGGGAATGGCTTGGGTTGGAAGGGACCTTTAAGACCAGCTGGTTCCACACCCCTGCCGTGGCCTTGAACACTTCCAGGGATGGGGCAGCCACAGCTCCTCTGGGCAACCTGTGCCAGGGCCTCATCACCACCACCACCGAAAAGAACGTCTTCCTAATATCTAATCTAAACCTACTTTTTGCCAATTTGAAGCCACTACTCCTTGTCCTGTCACTACATGCCCTTGTCAAAAGTCCCCCTTCAAGAATCTTCTACAGCAATTAATGGCCACAGCTGGGAAAGAGCACACACGTCTGGAGAGAAATAAATCATTGTGCATCTTTTAATACATCCACACACTGAGGGCATCTGTCCCATAACCAGTTACTCCTTAAAAAGCAAGAAAATATTTTCCTTGCACTTCACCCTTCAGGCCTTCAGCGCTGTAAGCTCCAATAAGAAAGGTGCAGCAGAAGACAGGGAGTGGATACACATCCACGAGGGAGGAAGGGTTTTCCTCTGCTTTTACTCATATAGTGATTACAGTATCAAGAGGCAAAGCTAACATCTAGACTGGCTTACAAGAAGTTTTTTTTTCACGCTTCTCGCACCTCTGCTGTGCAGAGAAACTGTTCAAGATATACCACTGACCTTTTACCTCCCCGTGCCTGAATTTGCATGCCGTGAGGAGCAGTGACATACAGGGCAGCCAAAAGGTTCCACCACCAAATGAGATTCTGGGGCACAAACATTTCAGACTCGGCCTGTACTGACAACGCAGTAAGTTGTCCTAACAGAGGCTAAGTGACCACCACCTCCTCAGAAGTGCCTCGCACCAGAATGTTTCTAACATAACTCCGTGGTGTTTTTTTTAAGCACTCGGATTATTTAACAAACTGTAATCAGAGGTAATCCTGCTATCCTAACGCGTTTGGACGGGCATGAACACAGGAGGAGCTCCAGCGGCAGATCTGAAGGAGCGATGTCATTAGCACAGCAGCAGGCCAGGGCAAGGACAAGCAGCACTCACTCCCCTCCGGCACAGCAAAACCCCCTCGGAAACAGGGAGCATCTTTCCAGGCTGCTCTTTTTTTGTTTCTTACGAGGGGAGGAAGAGGAACGAGTTAAGAGACTATGAAAACTGGAACTTGTTTTGCAGTTCTAATCCCGCTACAGGTGGACAACGCCCTCCATCAGACTGAGGGCTCCCTTCACACCAGGCCAGCATCCCGAAGCCTAAATCAGCACTCTGGCACGGGACCCACAGGGGGACGGCAGCTCCCGCCTTCCTCTCCCCCTCAGCCCCCCGAAAGCGCCAGGAGGCCCCGCCGGTGCCACCTCCGTGGCCGCAGCCCGGCGGGGAGGGCCCCGGTACTTACAGGCAGAAGACGTGCTCGCACTGCCCCAGGGACACGGGCTGCCGCAGGACGCCGGCGCTGTGGGCACAGGAGGGAGAAACACGGCACTTTTAACACGCGCGGCCTCACGGCAAGAGCCGAGGGGGAAGGGGGAGAAGGGGAAGAGGGTCACCCATTACCAACGGGAGCAGCTCAGCGCCCTCTCCAGCCGCCCCAGCGCGGCGCGGGTGCGGGACCAGGGCTGCCCGGACGATGCCATGGTGGGGTCGGCAGTGCGGGGGTGGCCGGCCGGGGCCGGCTGGTTGCCCGAGCGGCCGCACAGCGCCTGCCTCATGGTTCCCCTGCTCTCATCTCATCTCATCCCATCCCATCCCATCCCTTCCCGCCGCCGCTACGAATTCCCCGCCCGCCCCCACCGCGCAGGCGCCAGGGCCGCGCTCGCGCTCCCCGCCCCCAGCGCTTCCCGCGCTCCGCGAGCGGGGCGGGGCCGCCCTGAGGGGAGGGGGAAAGGGCGTGGCCGCCCCTGAGGGGAGGGGAAGGGCCGGGGCGGGGGAAGCCCAGGGGTCGGTAATGGAGGTACGGTCGCTTAGCTTGGAATAGACGTCTCGGGTCATCTGAGTGCAACCTGTGACCCAACACCACCGCGGCAACTAGACCATGGCACTGAGTGCTGCACCCGGTCTTTCCTTAAATATCTCCAGGCATGGTGACTCCACCCACCAACCTGCCTGGGCATCCCATTCCAAAGTTTAATCTCCTTTTCTGTGAAGAAATTCTTCCCGATGTCCATCCTGGATCCGCAGCCTGAACAGCTCGAGTCCGTTTCCCCTTGTCCTGTCCCTTGTTTCCTGGGAGCAGAACCCGAACCCCCCTGGCTCCCTCCTCCTGTCAGGGCGTTGCAGAGAGCGAGAAGGTCCCCCCGAGCCTCCTTTCCTTCAGGCTGAGCCCCCCCAGCTCCCTCAGCTGCTCCTCACAGGACATGTGCTCCAGACCCTTCCCCAGCTCCATTGCTGTTCTCTGGACACGCTCCAGCCCCTCAGTGTCCTTCCTGAACTGAGGGCCCAGAACTGGACACAGCACTCGAGGTGTGGGCTCGGCAGTGCCCAGCACAGGGGGACAACCACTTGCCCCTGGTCACTGCGCCTGGCCACACTACACAGGCCAGGTGCCACTGGCTTTCTTGACTACCTGGGCATACACTGGCTTATATTTGGCACCCCCAGATCCTTTGCCTCAGGGCCCCTTCCCATCCCCACTTCCCTCAGCCTGTAGCACTGCAGGGGGTGGTTGTGGCCAGAGTGTTGGACCTGGCACTGAATCTTATTTAACCTCATGCCGTTGGTCTCGGCCCATCTAGATACCATCTAGGTACTGCAATAGCACCCAAATCAATCAAATACCCTACATCTTTCCAGTATTTGTGTATCTACATGACATCTAATATGCTATAAATATCCCCTGCCCAAAGGAGGCCTTAGACGGGTGGGTGGACATGGCACTGTGGGGCTGAGGGCATCCACCCCTCATGCCTGGCACCCAGACCAGGCAGGGCACCTTCCCCTGTGCCCATGCCTTTCTGCTCCAAATTTAAAAATTTCATTTTCTTCCCTCTCTTCTGCCCATTCCCCAGCTTCAGCCTAACAGAAATACCTCACTAGTCACTGTTATTTCAGGTGACCAGAGCGGTTTTTCCCTCAGCCTGTGTGTCCTGCAGCACCTCAGGGTTCAGCCCAATCTCCCACTTCTTACAGGTTTCTGTTTTCTTAGGTGGTACCTCCACACACACAGCCCCTGCCATCCCTCTACAGCGTAATTACTGGAGCACGTAAAGCAGTTATAGCAGGAATTTATCACTTTCAGGTAGAAATACTCCTGGCCAAGTAAAAGATAGAGCAGGGATGCCAGGAGCAATTTATAACGGGCTTACTGACATTTCACGTGGAGAAGCTCCGTCAGTGAATAAGCATCAAGCCATAAATCTCAGAGAAAACATGATTAAAGCAAGCGAGTTATTCTTTGAGCAAACTTCATCATAAAAGGATGTGGTGGTGTGGAGCCACAAAATTTGGTTGGTGACAGTCATGGAAAACAGCCGCCAGAGCAGCGTCCCAGCTTTACTTTATCTAGAGAGAAGGACTTCTGGTTAAATGAGTGTTAAATCAGGGCTGAAAGTATTTCTTAATAAGCTATTAATGTCTTCCAAGAAGAGGTTCTCCAGTTTTCAGGTGTCACACTCTGCTTTGGTAGTTTGTTGCCTTTGTTCCTTCCATGGCTCCTGAACACTGGGAATTGTTTGAATTGGGATTTTTTTTTTCTTTTTGCTTTATTTGGAGAAGGTTAAATGTTTGTTACCCACATTAGCCAGAGGTGGAAGGAGGTGAGCAACCACGCAGGATGTGGAATTGTGAAATCTCTCAGCTCCATTGATCTGAGAACATTTGTCACCTGGGGCAAGCTGACACTTCACAGGGTGAGGCACCATCATGCTGATTTGAATGATGGCGTGTTCAGCCTTTATTATCAATGTCATCCTATCTCCTAACCTTCTTGACCCCAGAAAACACTGTCTCAGCTTTCTCTGCATCCATGATAACTCCCAATCCTTATCCATGAGAAGGGAAACCGTGGAGGGTCCAAAAAAACAGCCTGGCCCTTGCAGCGATGCCATCCTTGCAGAATCCAAGCCGGAGAGGGATGGATGCGGGCGTCCCCATCCTCACACATCTGGTTTCCCTGGCACAGAGAGGAGGGCTGTTTGTTGTCATCGACAGTGCAGGAGCTGCATCAGTGCGCTTGGATCCAGCTGTGAAAAGTGTGGCTGTGTCTCTGTAATAGCCTGTTGTTTTCTGGTGCTCAGGGAACCCCCCACTGTGTTAATAACACGGCGCAGTGTCCCCCTTGCTAACGGGCTGTCATCCCCGGCCGTGCGGATCGGCGGGATCTCTGCCGCTGAGGGAAGCGGCTCTGCGTGGAAGTACAACAAACCCAAAGGAAAATCACACCCTATAAGAGACACATGTAGGTGCCAGCTGCTCCCAGATTTGCTTCTGTCAGGATCTGGCTGCAGTGAGCTGCTTCAGAGCACAGCACCCTCCTTGACTATCCTGGAGGAGAGAAGGGGGCAGGCAGATGTGCCCTGGGCCTGCTCTGCCCAAAGAGGAGCTTGTCCCCAAGCCCTGCAAGGTGGGGGACTGGCACATTCCATGGTGCCTGTTCCCACCCTATCTGCATGCACCAAAACACCTGGATGCAGGAGAGGGAGGACAGCGAGGGACACAGCTGGACAGGGCACCCTCACTCCTTTCCTTGGGCTGCAGAGGATGGAGCTGGGACAGCAACCTGCTCCCTCACATTGACAAAACCAGGATGAACTCACAAAATAAGCTAAATGAGTCATTTTTCCCTTAAAAAATGAACAGCTACCAGATGCAACCTTAACATCCTACTACCTTAACATCCTGTGCTCCAAAATCCCACCTCCCAGCATCTCCCAGGGCACTGGGGATACTGAAAGATGGCAAAAGGCCTCGCTGCCGAGATGAAACTTAAACGCGATTTGAAGCATTCAGAGCAGGTTACAAACAACACTTGATCCATAGATCTCTTGAGTCAACCTGGCATTTATGTTCACAAAATATGAGATGCCAATATATACTGTATAGGACAGTAAACCAGATAAGTGCCTCATCTTCCTTCCCTCCAGCTGAAATATGTTTAGTGTCTCTCCCAATAAATCCACGTGTGCACGCAGAGTCTCCATTGTGCTGAGACATTATGTGGGAATTTACAAACATTTACAACTAAGTTAAACTGAGCCAAAGCATTGCCCTGGGCAGCCTGAAGCTAGCAAATACTTGTGTTCGAGAAAGATGTAAAAGTCACGAGTGATTCATTCTCCTTAATTTCATAAAGGTTAAGGAGTTGGCGCTCTTGGAAATCTAAGAAACGTCTTCCTCTGCAGTGAATTACTGCTACCAATTGGACAGTCAGGAGCAAAAAAAATGATGCAGGGAACAGAGGGAAGCAAGAAATATATCTCTAAATTTGGTTTATGCAGTATTTAAAGTACAACTAAAGCCATTCCAGGCAGTATAAGGCCCACACACTTTAAAATAAATTTGTTGCATGACAGAAAGCCAGTAAAGTGGTTTCAGCAGCGGTGTGATATAGTGAGGTACGTTTGGCGTTTGGTACGTGCATGAATCAGCTCCGTGCCCCGCTGAGGCAACGATCATCTCCGCCGTGCTAAACTGTTAATGTGATTTTCAAACAATGCGGGGCTTCGCAGCAAAACCCGCGCTGAAGGATGGGCTGGGCTCGGCGGCTGACGGGGAAGGTAAAACATCCTCGTCTACCTCGTGCTTCATTTCAAAGTGCTGCCCATCTGGTAAAGACCTTTTTATGTAAATACACCGGTACCTGATATTTTATTCATTTAGTGAAGTTCCTCAGCTGTTTTTCAACAAATATACAATTATTACGTGATTCGTCATTTAACAGGAGGGAGCAAGAGCAAAGGGAGGCAGTTCCATCGAGTCTTACAAATCAGCTGTTTTCCTGGGGATTAAAAGAGCTAAAACATCTGGAAAGAGGGGGTCCCTCTCCTCCCATCCACCTCAAGGCAGAGCACATCCTGGAACCACCCCACCAGGACATGCTGAGCACCCACCACAAGTGACAGAATGGATCTGCCTCATCAGAAGACTGGAAAAAAAGTGGGAAGGGGAACGGCCCCATGCTTTGAATTTCCTCTTTCCCCAAATGTCTGAATCAAAGCCTTTAACAAGCTTAGTTTGCTACTCGTGCTGCCCCTCTGGGGCCAATTTTGCTGTCACCCAAGGCCCTGAGAGCTCGCCGTGGTTGCAGAGGTATCGTGGGCTGCGGCCCTGACTTGAAAGACACGGCGCTGCTGAGACCGCTTGGTGCAGTAATTGGTTAGGGCCATTAGACTAGCAAGTTTTAGGATTTCGAATATTGAGGGATTTGATCCCCAAAAGGAAATAATAATAATAATAATAATAATAATAATTAAAAAGTCTGTTACACTTTCAGACTAAGCAGCACAGTCAGCACTGCATTACACGGCATTAAATTATTCGTTGAGCTTCTATAGCAGGAACATCTGCTGGTGTTAGACATGGCATTTTTTAATTAAAGGCAGCGGCAGAGGAGCCTGTGGTTCATTGGTTCTGCTTTCACCGTACGAATCACTAAATCCAAAGGGCACTTGTACAAAAGATTTGGTGAGAGCACTGGGCCCAGTGCTGCAGAGGCGCGAGTGGGAAAGCAGCTGAGGTGACAGGTAATTTACACCTGCATCCACTGGGCCCGTCACCCAGCAGGAGACCTCTGAGAACGGCCACATGGGTCAAAACTGCAGAGGGTTTTACAAAATTGAGACTATCCTTCTGATTTTACCAGAAAAGGGGTTTCCTGCAGAAAGGCAAGTAACAGAGAACAGCAAAGCAGGAGGAAAACCTGTGCCTAGCTGGGGATCACGTTCACACCTTTGCTTCAGCAGCTGCTGATGCTTCCCTGCTCCAGTGCTGGGGTGCACGGATGGATGGCACAGGCCCTCCACATCAAGCAGTGCCCCCCAGGAGATTTACCTGCCAAAGGAATAAAGGCTAGAACAAGGAATAATTTCCATCGCCCACCAGCTGCCCTCCCAGACCTCTCATCCTAAACATGTCAAGGCGGACCAAAAATCAGTCCTGGGCCAGGGATTTGAGCATGGCTGGAAAATCCCCCAAGCCCCCGGCAGTGTGGACACATCCAAGACAAAGCCAAGCAAAAATAAAGCCTTCTCGCCCTCTTCCACCTCCCCCTGCCCCAAGGCAGCCCCACAAGCCTGAGTCACCACTAGGCAGCCTGCTCTGAGAGGGCTCAGCCTTCCTGTAATAAAATCTGAATTAAAAGGGATGCAAACTGTCAGGTCTCAGCTCAGCTCAGGGGATGGGCAGAGCTGAGGAGCAGGGAGCAGCTCCTGTCCCAGGGTCAGGGTGCAGGAGCCTCAGCCCCACGGACACGCACGGCCGCCTCCCCGCCGGCACAGAGGGGCTGGGATTTCCCTCGATGAGCCCTGCAGATGGTGTTTGTTTGCTCAGCCACGGTAGAAAAGGAAAATATTTGGTGCAATCTGCTAGCAGACAGAGACAGACATATGGTCGGTGCGAGGCAAGCCTGGATGCTCAGGAAAACGCTGTCAGAGCTCTGCAGAGGCTTTTGGATGTTGGATTGCCCTTGAGTCGAGCAGGATACAAGTCCAGGGAAACCTTTGAAGAACCTGGGTGCGTGTTTTGTACAATGGCTGCTGTGGCTTGAACCCTCATATTAGCCCCACTCTAATTAGTCTTATTATCCTATCCCTATTGTACTAGAGTTATTATAATTAACCCAATTTTAATTTATGCAAACCTCAGCTCTGGCTCAAAACTTAGAGAAATTCTCCCTGGTTTGATGTCTGTTCATCTGGCACACACAAAACACAGGTTAAAAACAACAGAGCCAATTAAAGGCAATTACTTGCAGTTTTGGACCCAGCGGAATCAAGATGCAGGTGCATCAATGCTTTTGTTCTTTACCTGGGACTTGTCAGCCTGTTTTTAAATGTATCATTGCAGCTTCAAGCCTGTGGGAAATCTTTGGGCCAGCCCAAAACATAAAATCCTTTTTATTTCCCTTGCAGTTACATTTTAAAGATGTAAAACCCTGATTGTTCTGATCTCTGTTTCCTGGATAGCAAGGCCTTTTTCTTAATCAGGACTAATCTCCAGCTAAAGCAGCACTGGTGACCTCCATGGGGTCGCTCAGGGATCTCCACACCCCGAGTCAAGGCTCAGCACCTCCAGCTTCATCAGGATAAAACAGATTCCCAGGACCATGGGGAGAAATTTGCTGTGACTTCTTAACAACAAACCTGCCTCCACATCTACAGCCCTGGCATGAGCTCCGCTGGTGCCTCTGCCAGCCTTGCTCTGGTGCATGAGGGTCTCAGCCCCACCTTTTAGCTTCAACTAGAAATAATATATCAGCAAGAAGGACAGATGGCATATCTGGAGAATATGAAATGTGTGGTTAATGCTCCCTAAATTTAAATTAAAATGCTCCTTCCTTGCGAAGACTTCCTTCCAAAGGCAGGAGGGCTCCAGTATCCCACAAAACCCATGCCTTGCACTTCTTAAAAGTGAAAGCCAGAGCTGAGCTGCAAATAATAAAAGAAGTAAGGAAGTCCATGGGGTTACTGCAGCCATACATGGATGCAGGGCAGTTCCTGGGAAGGGCCCTGCGGAAGGTCTGGGAGCGCTGCACGGAGCTGCTTCTCTGAAACATGTCCCAGAGCTCCTGGTCTTGCTTGTACCCTCGGTGCCAACTCACTGTGTCATCACAAGACGGATTTTTCTGGGCTGCAGCTTGGCCTGAACCTTTGGAAATCTCTCACGTGCAGAGCTCCCAGAGCGTTTTCCTTATTTGCTTCCTAACTAGAGGAAACTAAGGAACAGAAACCACAGCACATCTGTAGGTGTTTACAAATAAAGGTATGTGTTTTGTAAATAGGTAAGGATACCTCACCTATTTCCTTTCCATACTAATCCATACTAAATCCAAATTAACATGATAGCAGCTCCGGGTGATTTATGTTGTTATAATAAATAACAGCAACTGTGTGCCGCTTAGCTGATGATTAATGATCCTTATTTATAGCGTGTTCAGCTCAGGTCTGCAGGTTACACTTGCAAACATCAAAGGAGAGTTCAGCTTCCCTTTTCTCCTGCATTGTGAGGCCGTGTTGTAAATCCTGAGCGAGCTGCCTTGATGGCTGTGTTTTAATCCACAAATAGGATTGCTATAAACTGCCAAAGAAACACCATTCTGACCTGACAGCCGCGGGGCTGTTCCCCTTTGGCTGGGGGCATATGTGGCTGCTCCAGCCTCTGCAGGGAAGGGTGCTGGAACTGGTGGCTGCCAGTGCCATCGCAGCCTCCCCTCTGAGTTATCAGGGAGTTATCAGGCTCTGTCACTCCAGCGTACCATGGTGTAAGCACCAACCCCTGTGTCTGTGCTCTGATTTCCCTATGATCCCTCCAAAGGAAGTGGGATGCTTTGTGATTCCAGCAGCTCCCCTCCCAGAGCCAGGGCACAGCCCCAGCCCTGCACCCACACTGCCCCATCCTTCTGCGGGGACCCCCCAGCCCTGAGCTGCCCAAACACAACAGGCTTTCCTGCCCCACTCTGCAAACAGGCCTATGGGGATGGCAAAGCCCAGTGGCACAAACCCTCCTGTTTTCATTGGATGGGTGCTGAGCACCTCTGAATGTCACAGCCTGGGTGGATGGAAAAACAGCTTCCCAGTTCCTGAGGTGACTTCAAGGACTTGTATAAGCACCTGGGCTGCTGTGCTCCCTTACACAGCCCAAGCGAGCTCAGCCCGTGATTTCTGCTTGAGCCAGAGCTCAGGAACGCCAGAGGGGGTGGGAGGGAAGTGCAGCACAGCAGCTTTGATTTATCAGGCTGATGAGTAATAAGGAAACAGCCTCTCCCATTTAGGTTGGCAGGAGAAGGGGTGCTATATTGTTCAGAGGGACACTGTGTTAGTGCCACGTATGAGCTGCTTTCAAGCCCTGAAATCACCCCTGTAGGATTTTTACAGGGGAAAAATAACCCCTAAAACATCAAGACTCTCCAAGGGAGCTGTGAAGGTTTCTTGCTCTCACAAGTCAGGACTGAAGTCCCACTGACACCCAGTAATTACATTTGTCTGTGTGGTGGCAGAGTTATGTCATTCTGGCACACGGGATTTCTGGAATGGTTGCAATATGAACTCGGTGTGAAAGTGCATGCCTTGGCTCTGCTGCCTCTGCTGTCAGGAAGGGCAGGGCAGCAGGCATGAAGCAAACCATCCCATTCTTCCTCTCAAACATCTCCATCCCTGCAGGTTGGGGGCCCAGCTCCAGAACATAAAGGAGCTTTGAAGGTTTCACAGTCTTGGACCCTGCTTGGTTTTCAGCCCAAATCCTACCAGTGAAGGTCCCCATTTCTTAAATGTCATGGTATTCCCTAATCCTGCCTGATTTCACACATCCCAGTTTGTAATCCAACCCTGGGGAGCAGGAGGCTCCCTCAGACAGAGCACCAGGATAGTTTGTAGCAAACATACAAGCTTTGCCTTTGCTGCCGTCCACCAGTGCGTGGCAAAGAGCTGATTATAGGGGAAAAAAGCCACTTGTGAGTCCGTAATGAGGGTGGTCAAATGCTGAAGGTGCACAAAGCGGGTTAAAGGAGAGGCCTCACCACCCATGTGAGGGAGGAGACCCGTGGAGCCACTCCAGTGTGTTCACACAGAGCGTTATCGCAGCGTGAGGCAGCGGCCTGTGAATAAACGCTCCCTTTGCGGCTCTGCCCTCCTTGGAGAGGCTTCAATAATTCCTAGGGAGGCTCTGAGGGCTCATAAAAAAAATGAATAAGGAAGTGAGCGGAGCAATCGCTCTGTTCCTCTTTGCAGCAAGCCTGGAGCTGCCCCTGCCTGGCTGCTCAGGTACGGCGTCGGTTTGCCGGGTTCCTGGAGCAGAACGGATTTGGCGGCTCCACAGCCTGCTTTGCCGTGATGGATGGGAATGATTATCACTGTTAATCTCACTAAGCCTATGGTCTCAACTTTGGAGGGTGCTTAAAGGAACACTTGGGGAGGAGCACGTGAAGATGTGTGGAGCATCTGCTGTACCCCTGTCAGCAAAGGAGAGTCTCCTTCAGCTTTTTTTCTCTCTTTGACAGGATTTTAAATAGGAATGGTCCAGATCAGCCAGATTATAGGCTGGACTAAGGCTCCAAACAAGGACCACACTCCTGAATCACACCCACTGGCTGCTTTGGAGGTGGTGTTATGCTCAAGGTTACAGGTATTTTTAGTTCTTCTACCTCACATAACTCCCTAGAGATGGCTGAGGGACACCTAGAAGTGCTCTGGTGTTTCTGGCAATTCTTAATATTTGTACTGTTAGTGTTTTAACGAGTTTTCTTATCAAAGTCAACTCCGATGCTTCAGCTTCCACGGTTCCTGGGAGAAGGGTATGTTCAGGCACTGCAAGAGGGAAACCTCATGTGCAAAAAATTGGGAAAAACTCTTACCTTTTAGAAGCACCTGGATCTTAATTGCTTTCCAGAAACTGTCTGTTAGAAACAATTGCTCTTACAAAGCTGAAAATGGTTTCTGTTATTTCTCCTCTGCCTTGCTCCTAGTCCAGGCTGGGCCAGCCCAGGGGCTCTTCCCCTGTGGGGGAGCAGGTCACCTGTGTTGGTGGGAACCCAGGCATAATTCCTCTGGAGCCCCCGTGGATATGGGTCACCAGGCAGGCCTCAGCTCCATGCTGATGGTCCTCTCAACACGTGTTTGCACTGGTGTAATTAAAGGTACTCTACTAATTGGATGTGCAACCCTAAGGGAACTCCTTTAATTGCATTTCAATCTGCTTGATGTAATTTTAACTTAAATTCATTTCTGTCTTGCACAGGAATAACCCAACTGGGTCTGGTTACGGAGAAGGAGATCACCCTGCTTCCTCCTCCCCGTCGCACCCTGGATGTGCCTCCATTTGTCTCTGGCTGTGAAACAGCAGCACACACTAAAGCAGAAGGCTGTCCTTCAGCTGGCACTGGGACAAAGAGAGGAGAGGGCTGGGAGCTCCCCTTGACCTGCTGATGGAGGCAAGAGCCTTGGTGATAACCCTGTCTTCACCTGGATTTTATCTCATGTGAGTTTTACCATGAATTCTGTCATTCATGCTCTTCCTGTTTCTTTCTCTGGAGTCAGTGAAGACCTGAGCTCTTCCTAAGAGACACTTCATTTCCACCCAACATGCTGGTTTAGTGAGAGACTTGCTGCTTAACCTGGAGGCTGGGGTAGATGGTGGGGTTGCTGCTTTGAGCCTCCCAGCTTGTGGGAGCGCTGCCATTTCCTGCTCCCGCCTCCCAGCACGGGGCCCTCACAACTGCTCTCCCTGGCAATGGCCTGTTTCCAGCGGTGTCTTCCAGCAGCAATCAGCGCTGGAGTGGGGGCTGCGTGCCCAGGAACCAAGCACTGGGGAGCAGCGCCTGGTTTCAAGCGTTGCTCTGTGGGTTGCAAGCACAACTATCCATTTCCTCCCTCCTGAGCTCCACGTGGCCACTGTAGCTCTCCCTTCTCGGCATGTGCCAGCGCTCGGGTGCTGCAGGATTGTTCCATGGTATGGGTCTCAAAATACTGATACCCCTTAGGGTGGTTTTGTGCAGCTTCCCCCCTGCCACGGGTATTTTGAGGAGCCTGGTCTGGCTCAAAATGAGCTGCACTCCCTCTGCTGCTCCCCAGAACTGTGGGGCTGGTCATCCTCCCTCGTTACCAGCGCCATGGATGCAAGCAGCGGGAGGAGCAGAGCCAACAGCACGCGCTGGCTGTGCCCCTTACTAATGTTGTTCATAATGTTTCTGTGCCATCTTCCTTCTTTCCACCCTCTCCCTGAACAACTAAATTAATTAGAGTGGGTTTTTGTATTTAAATACTGTCATGGAATAATAATCCTGGTGAATTCAATTTTTTTTTTTTTTGTCATTCCCCACTGCTTCTTTTCTCTGTTGTGCTCTCTTTTAATATGCTGCTGATACTTTGTTATAGCTATGCAAGATCACAGCTGTTGTCTGAAAAAAAAAAAAAAGAGTAAAATCATTCTGTGTGCTGTTGCCATCCAAAACCCATTTTTCTTTCTCCACCAGCTCACAAAATAACCCTTCCCCTATTAAGTGCAGAAGCATACATTTCTCTTGGCTTGTAAAAAGCCAAAAAGCCTCACAGCAGCTTCAGCGAAGCTGCAGCAGTGGAAGGAAGTCAAAGCTCCTATAACAGGCGGGGGCTCCATCCTGAGCCTGTTATGAGCTTGGATTGTGTGAGTTCTGGATGCCAGGAGTGACTCCACAGAGGCAGCAGGTCTGTGGGCACCACCAGCTCCTGTGCTTTACTAGCCACTGAGTTTTGTTTACCTGGATGTGTTAATTTGACCTGTAAACATGTTTCCTGAAAGGACCCTGTAACAAAGCCATTCCTGCCGCTCTCATAAAGGGACAAAACATTCCCATTAGAGCCCAAAATTATATTTACAGTATTTTGCTTTACACTGGCCTTTCCGGACAGCTTTCCTCAGCCCTGCCAGGCCCTCTCTGACCCTTTGAAGTCAGCCCTTGGTGGTCACTGGCATCGAGACCAAAGCTAAGCAAGGATCAAGCGGTAGAAGGACCCTGCTCTCATCAACAGCGCAGAGCAGTAAATGAAGGAGAGCCAGGATGGAGATTTGAGTCGTTGTCTCCCAGTCCACAGTTCCAATTACAAAACCGACTTCAATCAGCCTCACAATGCACACAGCCAGTTCTGAAATTCCTCCTTGACTGCCTGACCCCGGCCCTGTCCAGCGCCTGCACTGCCTACACCTCACGTCTCTGATGTGTCAGGGCGGTTCTAAATAAAGCTCGGCTGAGGCCCGTGCAGTTCCAATTAACACACAGGAGCTGTGTGACCGCTTGGCAGGGCTTGCCCTGGCCCTGCTGCCTCTAACAAGGGTGATGAGGGTGGCTGAGGGGAGAATGCATTAAAGGAGCGAGATGAAAAGCTTGTTTTCCCCCCAGAATGCAGCTCCTGGAGAGGTGCACAGGGCGCTGCTGGGTCAGTGTGTTCAGCAGTCTCAGCTCCCCGCTCGGGCCAGAGGGAGGAGGAAGCTTGGTGGCTGCCTGGGTTTTTTGGAAAGCAGAGCCATGTAAAGCAAAACCTTTTAAGGGGATCCAGAGAGGGCTGAAAACGGGGGGCACCTGCTGTGACACCCACAGGGGAAGATGATGGTGAATGCCAAAGACAGGGGAGCGACCCCGTCCTTCCCAGGCCATGCACAGCCTGCTCCTAACCCATCAGACATACCCTCAGCATGTGCCTCTGAGTCCAGCCTCCACATTCCTGGCCACCCCTGGAACCAGAATGGACCCTGCTCAGGGAGACAGAGGTGATGAGGAGCCTGCAGCTGGGGTGCAGAGGCAGGGAAGTATTAACTTCCATGTGTTTTGCCTCAGAATTGAGTCTGGAGTGTGTTCCACACCCAAAAGGGACAGGATGACTCTGAGGCTCTGCTGGGAACAGGGATGTTGGTAATGTGGCACAAAAGGTAATTCAGCCCCTGGTGACGTGATATACAACCACCTTGCCAGATGCTTCAACCCCCCAAACAGTTGTAAGTGCTCCTCCACGGGCCTCAGTTAAATTCCCTCCAGGATGTAAACTTGGGCTTGTTTGGACCAATACCTACAGACTTGATTGCAACAGCAGATGGTTTATTTCTACCTGCAAGTGAGAACGGGGAGTGTATATCACGGCCCTGACACATTTTACATGGAGCAGATGTTTCTATTAATGCCAGAATTGGGTGGAAATGCAAAGGATGCTTTTTGCTTTTTTCTCCCCCCTCAAAACTATTTTACTCAATTAAATTGCAACTTGCTGAAGTATTCCAGTGAATCACTTCCCTTTTTTTTTTTTTTTTTTTTTGTTTGATTAGTAGGCTCTAAAGGGACAAAAGAATAGCTTTGTATCAGTCTCCCTCAATTACATGTAAAGTACATCTCGACAGAGTCTGAAGATCCATCTTTCACTGGCAGTTGCAAAGCCATCGACATAATAAAATAATACTCTGATTGGTATTACAAGGCTGCATTTAAATCATTGGCATTCATGCTCCGAGTCCTTTGCAGGGAGCACAAGCCCTCCATTAGAGAAAAGCTTAATTTTATACTGTGATCTGTGTAAGATATGTGATGAAAATGAGAAAAAAGAGCCTTTGCAGAGCTGGAGACATAATAATAGAAGCCACAATGGATGTCTGGGCAGCTTTTTCAGTTACTTATAAACTGCAGGTGTCAAATGCATTCTGGAAAGAAGCTGAATCCCAGTTTTAATTACAGCCAGCAGGTTGAGGCATAATTCAAGGCTTGACAATACCTTCAACCCATAATAAAACTCCTCCTGCTAGCAGTAAGGAGTTTATACCAAGACCAAGGATAATTCCTGACCTCCTTGCAGCAAGTAAACCCTGAACTTCAGTATCCCACTGTAAAATCCTGAACCCCTTGATACTGAAAGTACCTGGTCCTTCAGAAGGCATCAAATAGGAGCTGAACTAGTCAAACTGCTCTGATGATCAGGGTGAGAAAGATGTGCCATTGCAGTTTTCATCAAAGGTTCCTTTGGCTCAAATTAGTTTTCGGTAAAAAGAAAAAAAAAAAAGGAAAAAGAGACCACCTGGCTGGAATTGTGTGGGTGAACCCAGGTAAGTTGTATGGGCCATCCCAGGTCTCACAAGGTAAGGCTTTATCTGCGATCTCTTTTACCAGCAACAGCAAGTTTATTGAGCTCAGAGTTTAAGTTCATTACGTGCCTGAATAGCACCACGTACACCAATGCCCTGACCCAAACCCGAGTCTTTGAGGCCTTATGCTGATACATATAATAAAGAATCACACTGAACTACTCCATCTATTAATGATTCTGGGGGGGCAGAAGCAGGATGTGTGTGTGCTGAACTCGGCTGCTGGGGGCTGCTGCTCACAGGGAGGCAGAGGGCTCACCGAAAGCCAGCAGGCAGAGCCTTTGAAGCAGAAGCTAATGATGCCTTATTATGTGGGAAAACAGCTCCGGAGTCATGGGGGCAGCCACCATGTGGGGCTGAGGAGGAAGGTCACTGGAGAGGACACGGAGAGGCAGAGCTGCTGGGAGATGGAGGTTTTCTGAGCAAGGGAGGTGCTCACTACATTTAGTGTGCCCAGGGAAACAGTCTCGGAAAGCAAACCTCTTCATGTCAGAGGATTCCAACACACCTGCCCTGTGCTGTCCCTCAGCTGTGGCAGAGCAGCCCTGAACACCAGCCCAAAGGAGAAAAGGGCTCGTGGGGGAATGATCTTCCACGGGGTACCAAGAGCTAGGAACTGCCTGGCACCAGAGGAGTTACTTGAGGAGTTACACAGGGCTGGAATAAACTACAGGAACAAACCAAAACCACTGGAAGCACTAACTTTGAAAATAAGTGTATTTGTGCTGACGTAACCCACACATACAGATAAGCTCTATGTCATTACCAAGGATGGCCCCCACCAATGGCATTTGCAGCTCTCAGTACACAACACCCATGTCCCCACAGCTCCCCTGGGAGGCAAGGCAAGGCCACGAGCCCCATCTCGCCAGCAGGGAACCTGTCAAACCTGAGGGACTGTGGCATGGTCGCCCTGGAAGTCTGTTGCTGAGCCAGGAGTGGAGTGTGGGCTTTCCTCTGCCGCCTGGGGCTGCTCTTTGGTCAAACACCCTGCACTGCCAACAGCTCCTCTGCTCCATCACAGCCATTTCTGCTGTAAGCAAATGGCCACGAGCAGCACGTGATGTCATCTAAGTCCTCACAGGCATTACAGTGATCACAAAGCAAGATCTGGGGGGAAAAGAACCTGTGGGAAGACCAATCTGATTTGTAACCAAGTGCCAGTCTCAAATGCCTACCGTGTTCCTAGTTACAAATTAAGTGCATAACAAAAAAGAGAGTACTTTAAGAAAATGGGACTGTTTCATCCCCACCATCCCAGAATCATAGAAAACAGGGCTGGAAGAACCCTGAGGGGTCTTCTGCCAGGTCTTTTCCCGGGTTCTATGATCCCGTGTGGTTGGGCCCCCTCAGTAGATGGAGCTGATGGTGCTCGCTTGGCTACTTGTGTCAGAGCTGTCCACCGTCACATCAGGACCCGCGTCCGCGCCGTCGGGATCCGCTTGATCTTTGGCAAAGTTGATGAAAACCTGGAATTTCAAAGGAAAACAGTCTGTGACGGCATAAATAATTTATAATATGAATGAATATAAAAAAGGATTGGCTGTTCATTTGACTGTGAGCCTGGAGAGCGTGCTCAGGGTTGGCTTCACGCTAGATTTGAGAATTGCAAATGTTGGTCTTCCATGGGCTAATGCAAATAAATGGATGCACATTCCTGTACTGCTGAATCGACACCCGGGATGCAAAGGCAGACATTCCTGCAGGAAGCCTAATTGTCCTGCAGCTCAGGTTCCAGCAGTACCAGCGAGGTAATACCCGTGTGGAGGCTCCTTTCGATCACACTGTAACACAGTCCTATTATTACTCTATAAACCCATCTGTCTCTGTGTAATTGACATCTGTGCACACACAACTGCAGAGTGCAGAGAGGGGTGTATCATTCCTAAGTCTTCCTTTGAAAAGTGCGGAACGAATACACTGAGTATTCTTACTACAACGCTACCTGCAATCACATTTGCATATTCACAAATCCAAGCTGCCATCCCACAAAACCTGGGGCTTCCTGCGTTTTGTCTGCCTGTTTCTCTCCCAGCCACTGCCCTTTCTTACACCAGCACTTCCCCCCACATCACTGTGCCCCAGGCCATAGGACTACAGGGCTGCTCCTCTCTAGTATTTCAGGTGCTGATGCTCAACAGGGTGGCATCCCTTCAGCTGATGTGCTTCCTACAAGATTTCGATGCCAGTGGGAATGTTCTTCCAAGGGAAAATGGAAAGGACTTAACCACAAAGTTAAGTTTGGAGTAATGCTAAATGAACTTACAACCCAGAGAGTGAAACTAAGCAAATTTCCAGGACTGGTGGCAAGCCTAGCCCTGGACTCGGGAGTGATTCATAATCCTGCCCTTCATCCAAACCCACGAGGCTGCTGAAATCAGCAGTGACTGAGGGAAGAACAGATCCTTTATGCTACGGGCAGCTTTCCGTGTGCATTTTCCTCGTGCCAGCACAGGTACCTGGAGGCAGTAGTACTGATAAAGTACCCCCAGGAGGAATATAGATGGAAATCCCTTTCAAAATGTAGTCTATTGTGTGCAGCAGTCCATTATGTGTAACCATCAGTCTGCTCCCCCGTTGGCAGTTTGAAATGGATGGTCACACATTTTAATTCCTTACCTCCTCCAGCGTTGTCTGGCTCACGGAGAAGTGCCTGATATCGAAGGCTGCTTTGCTGCCTTCCAGGAGATCGAATATATTTGCTACCCCTCCTGCAGAGACTGGAACGTGATACTCCACCATGTTGAAGTGCCGATCCTGTGGGAACAGGAATGATGAGGTCATGGGAGGAGGTTGCCCCTCGTAAAGAGCCAACAGATCTGATGGCCCATGGGGAATGAAGGGCCACGGGGTGTCTCCTGGTACTGACCAGTGTTTCCCCATGGGGAGTTTCTGTGGGTTCTGTTACTGGGAGAAGGTAATTAAGCCCCAGAGCTGGGATCTCCAGGGCGGCCATAGCGTTTTCCAGCTCCAAGTGAGCCATTTTGATTAATGCAGAGACTGGGTTATGGACGAGGGATGGGATTTGTGACTGAGTTAATCTGGTTCTACGGTTACTCAGTTACTGGAAGCACCCAACCATCTCATTACCCACTGAGCCTGAAGTGGGTGTCCATGCAGGCCAGGCTTCTGTGGGACCACCCCTGGGGCAGCTGCCTTCCAGGATCACTGCAGCTATTTGGCTGATGTTACTCAAGCCATGGAGGAACTTGAGAGCTCCAGCCCTTGGACCACGTAGCTGACAGCAGTGGCAAGTGCGGCCCTGAGGGCACAGGTTGTTACAAGGTGTCCATCCTGCAAGAACCTCTTGGTTAATCTGAAGGGATTTTGAAGGTCTCTCCTTTGTCCTGCTTACCTTCAGGCATGTGTTTGGAAAGTGTGACTTCATGAACTCTGTCAGCATCTCAGTGCAAACCGTGTTGCTATTTAGGTGCATCTTCACAGTGAATCCTCTTCCAAATCTAGAGGAAAAAGAAAATCACAATTAACAGTGCAGAAAAGAGAAACAGATAAAGAAAATCCCCTGAGAGTTCTTGCATGGCCTCTTTGGGGAAATCTAATCCAGGCAGAGTACAACTTGAATAGGGTCAGGGTTGTTAACCTGGAGTGAAACTTAATAAGAAGCCAAGCTATTGTTAGAACTAATAAAATAACAGCTAAACCATCATGTGCATTTCACATTTACAGCAGTGAACTGAATACTTCGGGGGCACATTTCTGGGAAGAAAGGCTGTGAGAGAGAAGAAAGTGCATTAGTTAACAAAGAATTTCAATGGTGCAGTAAGGAACATAAACCAGAAAATGTCATTATTTTGATGCTCTGTTAACACAGGTCTCATGTTCTAAGCCCTCAAAGCTGTAGGTCAGTAACTCTGCACATGGCTCAGCAAAAGTGAAACGGGTCCATTTTACTGACCTGCTCTTGATGTGCTGCAAAGAGCCAATGCACTGGAAACTCCCATTCACCATGATGGCCAGCCTGGTGCAGAGGGCTTCACACTCTTCCATGCTGGAAAACCAACCAGAAACTCTAGTAAGTCATTGAGAAAGTATAAAAAAAACCAGTTGTTTTAATAGTCAGAGACCATAACTGTTCTTCCCTAAAGTATTGTGAGTCTCTGTGGGTGCCCACTCTCAGCCACAACAAACCCCCAAACCTCTCACAGCTGGGTGCCCTGGAGTTGCACAAGCACCGACAGGGAGTGCGAGGGATGGGCCTCTCCAGTCCTCCTGCTCACCCCAAAGCGGGGGCAGAGCCACCCCAGCCCTACCTGTGGGACGTGAGTATCACCGAGCACTTGTTCTGCACTTCCTCACTGATGATTTTCCACAGGT